CTGGCCACTGATTTCTCAAAAGAAACTATGCAGGACAGGAGGCCTTGGCACAAAATATTCATGCCATAAAAACCCAGGATCTACAACCACAAATATTTTATCCAGCAAAGCTATCATTTTGAATCAAAAGACAGATAAAGAGCTTCCCAGACAAAAATAAGCTAAAGGAATTTATCAACACCAAGCCAGTATTACAGGAAATGTTGGAGGGACTTGAGAAGAAAAAACATGTATCAAAAACAGGAATAAAGAATGGTAACAGCTACATTCCTATCAACAAGTACCTCAAATGGAAAAACTTAAGCGCTCCAACCAAAAGACAGCATGGCTGAATAGATAAGAAAACAAGACCCCTATATATGCTACCTATAAGAGACTCACTTCAGATTAAAAGATATGCACACACTAAAAGGAAGGGGATGGAAAAAGATATTGCCTTGATGGACCTAGAGGGTATTGTGTTGAATGAAATGGGTTGGATATAGGAAGACAAATATTGCATGTGGAATCTAAAGAACAAAATCAATGACAACAACAATAACAACAAAAGCAGAAATAAAGTCATAGATACAGAGAATATTTAGAAGGATACTAGATGGGAGGGGGTTAGGGAGGACAAAAAAAGGCAAAGGGATTAAGGGGTACAAATGGATAGTTGCAGAATAGACATGGAGATACAGAGTATAGCATGGGAAGGATGGTTAATAATGTTATTATAAATATGTAAGAGGGAAGAGGGGTGATCACTTTGCGAGTTATGTGATCTCTGATCACTATGTTATACAACTTAAACTAGTATATCATTGTATGACAACTATAAGTGAAAAAAAAGCTCATTGGATTGTACAATGTAAATACAAGCAGCTAATTGTCTACTATATTTCAATAAAGATGAAAAAGAAAAAAATGTTTCCCTTTATGAAAATAAAATCTTTAATCTGATAAAAAAATGAAAAATGGATGAAAAAAAGACATACTAGGTAAATCTAACTTTCAAATAACAAGTTGGTATAGCAATATAAAAAAGTGACAACAGAATTTAGGATACAATTATTAATGATAAAAAGAAAACACACCAAGAACAAAATAACTAAATTGAATATCAGAAATTTATTCACTGCCTAAGAATATATAAAGCAGAAGTTTCAACAATCAGAAGGAAAGTCATGACATATTGGAAAACTTCACTTTCCAGCTCACAGAAAATAAATAAATTATCAAGCAGACAAGAAAAAAAAATAGTAAGTATAAAGATAATTTGAAACAGCACGATGAAACATTGCCACTTGTGACAACATGGATGGATCTTGACATTATCATGCTAAGCAAAATAACTGAGACAGAAAAAATTGAAAATGATATGATTTTACTCAGATGTGGGATATGAGTAAATGAAAGTAACAAATGAATAAGACAAAACTCAAAGACACACACAACAGTTTAGTGGTTACTATATGAAAGGGAGGGTGGGGGAGGTACATGAGGGTAAAGGGGGTCAAATATATAGTGACAAAAGATTTGACTTTGGGTGATGAACACATAATGCAATATACAGATGATGTATTATTGAACTGTACACTTGAAATCTATATAATTTTAAAACCAATGTCACTCCAATAAATTTAATAAAAAATAAAAATAAAATAAAAAGTTATTCTAAAAACAAAGAAACAAACATACCATGTCACAATAATCTCAGCATACATATCAACCACACATTTTTACAAAAATTGACTTCTTTTCCGGATCCAACATTTGAAAGTCTAAATAATAAAGTCAAGTTTCTCCCGATAAGTAATAAAATTGGAAAATGATTTTTATAGCAACAAAAATAAATCACATAACTGAAAACTAAAGAATAAAATTCAGTCATGATTTAAACAAGAAATCATACTGGAAATTTCTAATTTTTTGAACCGAATGTCAACTATATCTTAAAAACTGGAGAGGGTAGATAAAATGATATATAAAGGGGAAAGTTTTAGCTTTTAAAACATATGTTAGAAAATAAGAGATTTAAAATTAATAAACAAAGAATTAGATTCAAGAAAGCTAGATTTGAAACAGAGCAAAGGTCGAACAAAAAGGAAAAGAGCAAAACTTAAGTATAATAAACATAAAGGAAATATAAAGATCTCAACAAAACTAAACTATTTTTCAAATTACTAATCAAATAGAAAAACTTCTAAGAAGACTGATCATGAAAAATAAAAAGAGAAAAAAATGAAATTAGAATTAGAAGAGGAAATGTGCCTATAAAAAACTATAAATATTTAAAATTATATATAATTCTAGATATGGCACATGGATATGGCACATACAGCCATATGTGGTAAAAATAAGTAACATACATCAACTTTCAGATTTTTCTCTGCAGCGAGGAAGATAATACTAGAAGGAGATTATAGCTGTAGATGCAGTGGTTACCTCATAAAAAAATAAGAAAAATATTAACATTTTTTAAAATTTCTAATGGTGGGCAAATGGGTGTTTGAAACCTTGTTCTCCTTGTGTTTGAATTACTTTTTTAAAAAGTAAAAATATGTTGCAGGCTAAATTATAAATTCACCTTCTGAAGATTTTATACAAAAAAATTTTTTTAAATTATTTCATACATGAGGCAGCAATGCACATTGAAATATTTCATATATGATAAGGCCCAGAAATCTTCATTTTTAATAGTATTTATTAAGTATTTTCTGGTGTTTCTTCTTTAAGTGACACAGATCACTTTGAGAGCCACTAGGGTATTTGAAAGCAATAGATGTGGATACATTTGAGGTTTTCTTCTCTCAATTTAAAAGACAGACTTTGGCCAAGTTACTTAAACTACACTCCCAAATTTTTGTATCTCTAAAATGGGAATTTTCAAAATTATCACACATAATTAAGTGAGATACTAAAGTAGTACTCAAAGTCCCTGTAAAAGTCCCTGTTGCTGCTTATGATAATGTCTTATATATGATTAGATTCAAATGGTACTAAAGTTTAACTTCAGAACACAAATTCAATTTACCCACTACTTAGGGATTCCTCTTCTTTGGTGAACCACTTTTTCAAACGATTCCATGAAATAGCTATTACGATTGTTATAATGAGAACAGGTAAAGCAATATAGAAACCCAGAAGCCACCGGTTCTTTTCAGCCTTCCAAAAAGTTCTTTCCATGATTAAACCTAAAAATAAAAATACATTTTAAAATCAGGGTAAAAAAATTAAGCTGTCTAACTTTCAAGTTGCAGCAAACTAATTACAATGTTCTTAATTTTTGTTATTATTCAAATAACATGGACAAATAATATAATCATAATTCTATTATGATTCTTTGGACTATCTCTATTATCTCTCATTCTAAAAGAATAGAGACCAAGTTCTAGAAAGCTGCAACGTATTCTACATTATATAGAATCTACAGCAAAATCTCACCATAACACTGTTAATGGGACTGAAAATTTTCAAAAATATATGAAGTGGGATCGTGTGATTGCAAGGTTATCCAATAAATATTCAGTAACAAGATGCATTATCATAGAATTTCACTATATTTGTGCATATCCTGTTTTTCTTTACTAGATTGTTGGCTTTTTGACATTAGAGATCTGTTTTTATATATGGAACCATTGCAGTGCTACTAAAACAGCACTGGCATAAAAATCAGGAGACTTGATTCCTAACCCTAATTATGCAACTAGTTAGCACTGGGTGCCCAAAACATATTCTTTAAGATCCTTAAGTAGAAGGGCTTTATTTTGGTATTATACATCCCATGTGCCATATGACCAGCACCTAGCATATATTAGGAGTTCCATAAATATTTGCTAAATCAATGAATGAATAACATAAACTAAAGTCATGGTGAAAGAATTGAACATTGTGCTAGATGTTCAGAGATCCCTCTGTGATCTCTTTAACAACAATTTACGGATTTTTCTCATTTAAACTGTAAACCCCTTCACAGTAAAAACTTATCTTTGATTTCCTTTATTTTTTCTATAATGAACACATAGTAACAGTGCTAGGCACAGAGGAAATGTTTGTGTAGAGCTGAGATTACAGGATCAATTATAAAAGGAGGAAATGTTGAAAGATACCCTTAAAGGTGAAAATCAATGATATCAGTAAATAAAAATTTTAAAAGATACTCTCAGCTTCAATCATGATATTTGAGAGTTAAAATTAAAAAAAGAGCAAAGCTAAGAAGGCATGTTTGGTTTCCATTTCTTGAAAGAAGCCTATTTACCTTTTAATTACAAATATTGGCTTCTTCCTCAGTGACAAAAATATAACTTTGTTTTTATGAAGATAGGCTATTTGAGAATTTTATTAAATGGATATGTAAATAGATACTTGCCTGGTTTTTCAAGCAATACAGAAGTTTCTCTGCTACTCTGCTGGCAATTTGGAGGTTGGAATCCCTGAGAACAATGACAATTCAACTTGGAAGTACACACCTAGGATCATTTTTAAAAATTTAAATGAGCATTTAAGAATATTTTCTCATAGAAAGTAAAATGATCAGACAGATCATCAACTTTACTTTTGTATTTTCATCTAGTGTAATTTTGTTTGATTTATTTAGAGAGGTAAACTTATAAATCAAATGATTTCATAGCCTAAAGCATGTGTGTCTGTGCACACACACACACAAAACTGCTTTAAAAAAGCTATGAAGGCTCACAATATTTGCATCGAGAAAATTTAACAGCTTCAAATGCTCACCTGAAAATTTAGAGTGCAATTTCAAAAACAGATATTTAAATTCTAATGACAATGAGACACTTTTAGTGGTGTGCTGTAGCCAGCTAGTACCAGCTCCCAGAGCTGACAGTACACATCTCTTCCCAAGTTCAGTGACATCATGTGGTATTCTGAAGTATTTGTACTTACAAATGAAGACTTTACCTCCCTCAGGTGGTTATTAAACATTTGTTTGTTTGTTTTTGCCAATCGCATGAGATTTTATTGGCAGTTTTAGAAGCAACACCTTGCTAGGTCAGTTGGTAGAACATGAGACATTAAATATTTAAGAACATAACACTGCCCTTGACCATTATCAGGTTTTACTTTTTATTTAATTAAATTTTTTTAGGTGTCATTGGCTAATAAAATTATACAGGTTTCAATTGTACAAGTCAATAATACGTCATATGTGTATTGCATTATGTGTTCACCACCCAAAGTTAAATTTCCTTATTGGTATTTTTTTTTTTTTTTGCTTTTATTTGCTTGAGTTTTAGGCAAAGGCTTTTTGTATTAGAAGCAGATACCAGATACATAGATACAGCATAGCATTAGGAACTGCAGGTTTCTATAATTAATAAATTAATTATCAAATAATAATAATAGCAAACATCTTTATGGTGCTCACTATGTGTGAGTTTTTATTCTGAGCACTTTATACAGATTTACTCATTCAATCTTTACAACAACATTGTGAGATCAGGACTATTATTATTACCCCTTTACAGATGAAAAAACTGAGGCAAAAGTCACATGGCTGGTAAGTGATAGAACCAAGATTTAAACCCAAGCAACCTGGTTTCAGAAGCCCTGCCCTTGACCATTATGCTATGCTACCTCTCAAAATAATATAAAACATCTCTCAGTTTCTAAGATCTCAATTTAAGAACATGAATCTAATTTCTCTATTCCACAGCTTCGATGTACAAAGGAAAAAGGTACTGTGTTCAGGGTATCCAATGTCCCATCATACCACTTTCATGATGGGGTGTGTGTGTGTATACTTTTACTCTGGAATAGTTCACATAAGTGATGTTGGCCTTCTTAGGAGACACTTGTCAGTTTGTTCTAATATCATGCTGTTACTTTTGGACCACATGGTTAAGGTGCGATCATCCAAGTTTTTCCTCTCTAAGTTATATGCTTCCATTATAATTAATAATTAATTTATAAGGAGATACTTGTAAGATGATGTAAGTATCTAGGTCCCATAAAACTTTCATCCACTAGTTTCAGCATCCATTGATAATTATTTAACTCAATTATTCCTTCTATATTGGTTATACTATAAGGGTTTTCCCTTATCTCCATTTATTTATTCAGTTATTGCTATCAGTAATATATTACTGATATGGCCAAATGATCTTTGACAAGGGTGCCCAGACCACTCAGTAGAGAAAGAGGAGTCTCTTTAGAAAAAGGTGCTGGGAAAACTAGATAGCCAATGCAAAAGAATAAAGTTTCCCATACGTCATACCATGCACATAAATTTGAGTTAATATAAATTAACTCAAAATGGATTAAAGACTTAAATGTAAGCCCTAAGACTATAAAACGCAAGAAAAAAATGCAGAAAAATAGCTTCATAACACTGGACTACACAATTTCTTGGATATGACACTAAAAGTACAATCAACAAAAGTAAAAACAGACAAATGGGTCTACAACCTTAAAAACTTTTGTGCATCCAAGGATACAACCAACAAAGTGAAAAGAAAACCTATGAAATGAGAAAAGACTTGCAAATCATATATCTGATAAGGGGTTAATATTCAGAATATACAAAAACTCCTACAACTCAACAACAACAAAATCAAATAACCTATTTAAAAAATGAGAAAAGGACTTGAACAGACATTTCTTCAAAAATGATATACAAATGACCAACAAAAATATGAACAGATGCTCAACATCACTAATCATAAGAAAAAGGCAAATAAAAACCACAATGATATCACTTTATACCTATTAGGGTGACTACTATTTTTTTAAAAAATCACAAAAACAAGTGTTGGCAAAGGTGTGGAGATACTGGAATTCTTAAACACTGTTGGTGGGATTGTAAAATAGTACAATTGTATTGGAAAACAGTATAGATATTGTTCAAAAAATTAAAAACAGAACTACCATATGATCCATCAATCCAACTTTTGGGTACATACACAAAAGAATTGAAAGCAAAATCTCAAGTGACACTTGTATACTCATTTAGCACCATTATTCACAAGAGCCAAGAGGTAGAAACAATCTGAATGTCCATCAACAGATGATTATATTAACAAAATAGGGTATATATGTACAAAGGAATATTATTCAACCTTAAAAAGGAAGGAAATCATGTCATATGCTACAACATGGATAAACCTTGAGAATGTTATGCTAAGTAAAATAAGCCATTACTAAAAGGCAAATTCTGTATTATTCAATTTACATGAGGTATCTAAAGTAGTCAAGTTCATAGAAACAAAACAGAACGGTGGTTTGCAGGGTCTGTTGCAATGGTGGAAAGAAGAGTTGTTTAATTGGTACTAGAGTTTCAGATTTGCAAGATGAAAATGTTCTGGAGATCTTTTTCACAACAATGTAAATAAACGTAACTACTGAACTGACACTTAAAAATGGTTATGATGGCAATTTTTACATTGTTTTTTAAATAACTTTTTATTTTCAATTACCATTAACATACAATATTATATTAGTTGCAGTGTACAATATAGTGACTGCACATTCATACAACTTATTAAGTGATTACCCCCAATAGATCTCACACAAGACATAGTTTTTACACTATTATTGACTGTATTTTATATGCCATACTTTACACGCCCATGACTATTTCACAATTTGTTCCTTTTAATTCCTTCTCCTCTTTCACCCATGCTCCAAAACTGCCTCACCTGGGTAACGATCAAAATGTTCTCTGTATCTATGAGTTTGTTTCTGTTTCGTTTCATCAATTACTTTTTTTTTTTCAGATTCTACATATAAGTAAAATCATATGGAATCCTGAACTAGAGAGCCTGGTGTGGAGCTGAGACCCCTTGCTCTTCATGGGGGACCTCCACAGCCAAGATAGCCCTCTCAATTCTTAACCACCACATATGTGTGTGGGACCAGCCCATTCTGTATCTCCACCCTTACTATCAGTGCCAAGTGGCTTCTTACGTATATCCTTAGTTATAGGACTTCTGTCCAGCTAGACTTCAGGAAATTCTAAATGACAGTTGTCTTGTGGTTTAGTTATACTTTTGAGGTGGTCTTGAGAGGAGAGCACAGCAAGACTACTCTGTTATAAATGCCATAGTATATTATTAGTGTGTTTATTTCAAACGGTCAATTGTCTTTTTTAAAACATTTCAATGAAATGTAGTATTTCATATTTATCCACTTCTTTTTCATTTCTGGCACTCTTCATTACTTTTGTGTAGACCCATACTTACATCTGACATTATTTTCCTTCCACCTGAGTGTAGTTTAATATTTCCTGTAGTGCATAGCAATAAATTCTCTCAGATGCTTATATCTGAGAGATATAAAAAAGTATTTTCTAGCCTTAATTTTTGAAAGATTCTCATTGGATCTATAGAATACTAAACTTGACAGTTTTTTCCTCTCATTTAAATTATGCCATTTGTTTTTTATCTTACATATTTTCTGATAAGAAGTCTGAAGTCATTCTTATCATTCTTCCTCTGGAAATAATGGATCTTTTTCTCTGACCACATTTAAAATATTCTCTTCATTGTTTGTTTGATTATAATGTGCTTTTGTTTGTATTTCTTTGTGCTTTACTGATTTGAAATTTATTGATCTTCTTGGAACTTGAGTTTATGATTTTTATCAAATTTTAAAAATTATTTTAATATTTCCAGTCTCCTCTCTTTCTCTTCTCCTTCTGCAACTGCTGAAACATTTGATAGTATCCCTCTGGTTCATCTTTTTCAGTGTTTTTATCTTTTGCTTCCATTTGAATAGTTTCTATTGCCTTACCTTTAAGCTCACTGATATTATCCTCTGTTTTGCCTGTTTTGTTGTTAATCCCATTTGCAGAATGTTTCGTTTCAATTATAGCATTTTCCCATTTCTAGAAATTCCATGTGTATTTTTTCGTATCTCTCATTTCTCTCATTATGGTAATGTTTTCTTTTAGATCCATGAGAAAATTTACAATAGCTTTTTTTAAATTAAATTTGTTGAGGTAACATTGGTTAATAAAATTATTTGGGTTTCAAGCGTACATTTTGACATTACATATGTATATTGCATTATGTGTTCATTATCCAAAGATGTGGTACATATATAAAATGGAATATGACTCAGCTATAATAGCTTTTTAAAGTCTCTATCAGCTAACATTTCGGGGGCTATTTCTACTGACGAATTTTTTTCTCAAAGTATGGGTCACATAATTCTCCTTCTTTGCAAGTTTGTTACTTTTTAAATTTTTATGCTAGATATTGTCAATATTACATTGTGTAGAATGCCTGCATTTTGTTGTTTTCCTTTAAAGATTGCTGTACTTTGTGCTGAGAGGCAGTTAAGTTACTTGCAGAACAGCTTGATCAGGTTTGTTTTTAAGGCTTTGATAGGGAAAATTTAGAATATCCTTTTCTCTAGAGTTAATTTAGTAGTGCTACTAGTATGACACTTCTGGTATCTCTAATGATTATCCCAGGTTTTCACAAAATCTCTTCACTTTAATCATAACTCA